TGCAAACTCCACCTCCAGGTTCAAGCGATTCTCCTGCCTCAGCCTCCCAAGTAGCTGGGATTACAGGTGCCTGCCACCATACCTGGCTAATTTTTATATTTTTAGTAGAGATGGGGTTTTACCATGTTGGCCAGGCTGGTCTCAAACTCCGGACCTCAGGTGATCACCTGCCTTGGCCTCTCAAAGTGCTGGGATTACAGGTGTGAGCCGCTGTGCCAGGGCTTGCTGTTACCTCCTTAAAGAGACCTCTGCTGACCACCTATTAGTCCCACTGAAGTACGCTTTTGTTCTCCTCATGCCAATTACTTCAAGTTGTAATGAGGCAGTTATGCATTTATTTGTTTACTTGTTTATTCCCTGGCTCCACTCCCATTACACTGCTAACTCTTTTTTTTTTTTTTTTTTTGAGACAGAGTCTTACTCTGTTGCCCAGGCTAGAGTGCAACGGTGCGATCCCAGCTCACTGCAACTTCCACCTCCTGGGTTCAAGTGATTCTCCTGTGTCAGCCTCCTGAGTAGCTAGGATTACAGGCGCATACAACCACGCCCGGCTAACTTTTGTATCTTTAGTAGAGACGGGGTTTCACCATTTTGGTCAGGCTGGTCTCGAACTCCTGGCCTCGTTATCTAACCACCTCGCACTTCCAGAGTGATGGGATTACAGGAATGAGCCACCGCGCATGGCCTACACTGCTAACTCTATTAGGGCAAGAACCACATCTATTTTGCTCACTGATGAATATCCATCCTGCAACTTAGTACAGTGAGGGCACAAAGAGGGCACTTATTTTGTATTTTTAGTAGAGATGGGGTTTCTCTACCGGGGGTCTTAAACTTTCAACCTCAGGTGATCTGCACCCCCTCGGCCTCCCAAAGTGCTAGGATGTGAGCCACCATACCTGGCCCTAAAGAACTTTCTTATTTTGAGACAGGCTCTGGCTCTGTCACCCAGGCTGGAGTGCAGTGGCGCACTATCAGCTCACTGCAATCTTCACGTTCCGGGCTCAAGCCATCCTCCCACCTCAGCCTCCCAAATAGCTGGAACTACCAGCATGCACCACCAGACTCGGCTAATTCTCATATTTTTTTATAGAGATGGGGTTTCATCACGCTGCTCAGGCTGGTCCCAAACTCCTGGGCTCAAGCGATCCACCTGTCTCAGCCTCCCAAAGTACTGGCCTCTGCATCCAGCCAAATAAAGTACTTTCTGCTGTACCTGGCACTGCTGACTACTCAGTCAATGAATGAGTGAAATGCAGCTAGAATTATGAAAATCTGTGGGCCAGGCACAATGACTCATGCCTGTAATCCCAGCATTTTGGGAAGCTAAGGTGGGCGGGTCATTTGAGGTCAGGAGTCTGAGACCAGACTGGCCAACATGTTAAAACCCCGTCTCTACTAAAACATACAAAAATCAGCCAGATGTGGTAGTGCCTGCCTGTAATCCCAGCTACTTGGGAGGCTGAAGTGGGAGAATTGCTTGAACCTAGGAGGCGAAGGTTGCAGAGAGCTGAGATCGTGCTACAACACTTCAGCCTGGGCAACAGAGCGAGACTCCATCTCAAAAAAAAAAAAAAAAAAGAGAGAAAATTTGTGGGCTTTCATGTCAGACAAACTCCAGAGGAAATAAATAATAATTTGTGATATTTTAATAAACTTCCTGGCAAGGCCTTTGAGACTCAATCTTTACGAAGCTTGTTCTGAGAGTACCTTGTGCCCTCCCAAGGCTGCATGGCCATCTTTCAAAATAAGCAGCAGTCACCTTCAGCACCCCAGATCTTCCTCAACCAGGGACAGGCATCCTGACACTTAACCCCTGCCACATATTCCCACCTGGCTCAATGTGGGCAGTGCCCTGCTCCTCAGTAAGTGCCCCCAGCCTCTAAGCGTGGCACACAGACCCCACCCTGCACCACTGCTTTCCAACCTGAGGGAGGGATAGATAGGTGTGGTAGCCAGTGAATATGAGCAATAATAATTGAGTACCGGCAGATTGTGTCCAATTTCAAAAGAATCCTGCTCAATCTCACTTGAGTATTTTATTTTATTTTTCCCATATATATTCTGCTTATGTACGTTTTTGTTTTTGTTTTTTGAGACAGGGTCTTATTCTGACACCCAGGCTGAAGTGCAGTGGTGCAAGCATAGCTCACCATAGTTTCGATCTCCTGGGCTCAAACAATCCTGCATCAGCCTCTAAAACAGCTAGAAATACAGATGTGTACAACTATTCTCAGCTAATGTTTTATTTTTTTGTAGAGACCAGGTTTTACCATGTTACCCAGGCTGGTCTTGAACCCCTGGGCTCCGGTGATCCTCCCACCTAGTCTCCCAAAGTGCTGAGATTATAGGCACGAGCTACTGTGCTTGGCCTCTTTTCTTTTTCATGAATTGAGACAGGGTCTCGCTCTGTGGCCCAGGCTGGAGTGGAATGGTATGATCATAGCTCACTGTAGCCTGACCTCCCAGGCTCATGAGATCCTTCTGCCTCAGCCTCCTGAGTAGCTGGGACTGCAAGTGTGTACCACCACACTCAGCTTGAACATTTTTTTCTTTTTTCCCCCCACCCCAAGATGGAGTCTTGCTCTGTCACCCAGGCTTGAGTGCAGTGGCGCAATCTCGGCTCACTGCAACCTCCACCTCCTAAATTCAAGCAATCCTCCTGCCTCAGCCTGCCGAGTAGCTGGGATTACAGGTGCCCGCCACCATGCCCAGCTAATTTTTTTTTTGTATTTTCAGTAGAGACGGGGTTTCACCATGTTGACCAGGATGGTCTCGATCTCTTGACCTCGTGATCCACCCGCCTCAGCCTCCCAAAGTGCTGGGGTTACAGGCCTGAGCCACCGCACCTGGCTAACTTTTGTATTTTTAGTAGAGACAGAGTTTCACCATTTTGGCCAGGCTGGTCTCAAACTCCTGACCTTGTGATCTGCCCACTTCAGCCTCCCAAAGTGCTGAGATTGCAGGTGTGAGCCACCGTGCCCAGCCTGACTTGACCATTTTCTACTGCCCACCTCCAGGAACCTCATTTCCTGTGTCTTCAGAAGGATCTCAGTCACAGGTGGAGACTGGAATCCCACCCCTGAGCACTTGCTAGAACCCACTGCTAAGGTTAGGAAAGACCCGAACACCTGCCATACCCACTCCCCAGCACCCAGGCTACCCTGACAGCTATGCAGCCAAAGATATGCAACTTTATTCTCTAAAACCTCCCAATTTTAAGGCAGGAACTGGCTTTTTTTTTTTTTTTTTTGAGACGGAGTTTCACTGTTGTTACCCAGACTGGAGTGCAACGGCACGATCTCGGCTCACCGCAACCTCCGTCTTCTGGGTTCAAGCAATCCTCCTGCCTACCCTCCCGAGTAGCTGGGATTACAGGCACGTGCCACCATGCCCAGCTAATTTTTGTATTTTTAGTAGAAACAAGGTTTCATCACCAGGATGGTCTCGATCTCTTGACCTCATGATCCACCCACCTCGGCCACCCAAAGTGCTGGGATTACAGGCGTGAGCCACTGCACCCGGCCTTTTTTTTTTTTTTTTTTGGTGACAGTCTTGCTCTATTGCCTAGGCTGGAGTACAGTGGCGTGATCTCAGCTCACTGAAACCTCCACATCCCAGGTTCAAGCAATTCTCCTGCCTCAGCCTCCTGAGTAGCTGGGATTACAGGAGTGCACCTCTATGCCTGGCTAATTTTAAAAATTTCTAGTAGAGATGGGGTTTTGCCATGTTGGCCAGGCTGGTCTCAAACTCCTGGCCTCAAGTGATCTGCCTGCCTCTGCCTTCCAAAGTGCTGAGATTATTGGTGTGAGCCTCCGTGCTTGGCCTGGGACTGGCTCTTGTTCATGTCTGTCTCCAAAATGATTAGTACATGGTCTGCTGCATAGGAGGTGCTCAATGTACATTTGTTAAAGAAAGATTAACAAGTATTTGAATGAACGAAGAAAAAAATCCAGGGGCTGGGAGCGGTGGCTCATGCCTGTAATACCAGCACTTTGGGAGGCAAAGGTGGGCAGATCACAAGGTCAGGAGTTCGAGACCAGCCTGGCCAACATAGTAAAACCCTGTCTCCACCAAAAAATACAAAAATTAGCTGTGTGCGGTGGCGTGTGCCTGTAATCCCAACTACTGGGGAGGCTGAGGCAGGAGAATTGTTTCAACCCAGGAGGTGGAAGTTGCTTTGGGCCAAGATCGCACAACTGCACTCCAGCCTGGGCAACAGAGCGGGACTCCATCTGGGAAGAAAAAAAGAAAGAAAGAAAAAAAAAATCTAATCTCTCCTTTAGCCAACCTCTCTCCCCTAACCTTTTTGGCTGGAGACTCTTCTTTTAATCTAAACCCTTTTATCATGATATGAGCCTACATCCTCAATGAAGCTTACTTCCTTCACGAGAATATTTTCTACTGTATCATAAAAGTAGAGACAAATGGGATAAACTGCTTACTTCTTTTAACAATCCTGAGAGATACAGATTTCCAACCTCATTTTATAGATGAGAACACTAAACCTCAGAAAGCTGAGGTCACTGGCCTGTGGTTCTACGGGGATTCAGACTCAAGCCTGAAGATACAATCCCCATATAAGGATGAAACCATACCTTCTTCCTCCAATGAAGCTGGCTTTGCAGACTCTTTTTCTTTTCATTTGAGAGTCTTGCTCTGTGGCCCAGGCTGGAGTGCAGTCTCCTGCCTCAGGCACGCACCATCATGCCGAGCTACTTTTTGTATTTTTAGTAGATACAGGCTTTCACCATGTTGGCCAGGCTGGTCTCAAACTCTTGACCTCAGCTGATCTACCCACCTTGGCCTCCAAAACTGCTGGGATTACAGGCATGAGCCACCATGCCCAGCAGTGCAGATTCTTGTTTTCACTCCTCTGCCTGCTAGAGACACAGCTTAAAACGCAGGTGCAGAAGAGGCCTGAACGGGGCTGAGTGTTATCCATGGACCAACTCCTGTTCAACAGCCCCAAGAGAGGAGTTTAGAAAGCCAATACTCACAGGGTTCCTCCTGTCCAGGCAAAGTGACTTGATGTTTCTTAACACCATCAAACAGGAGTTCCGCACCACCTCTGCAAAGGAGGACCAGAGAAAAAGCCAGGTAAGCTCCTACAAATAGAAGAGGTAGCGGAAACAGAAAACTGAGGATAGGGCTGATAATGAAGACTGAGAGAAGCAGAGACTAAGGTGCAAGAACACCTTGGGTACCAGTGACCAATTCTTTTTTTTCCCCTTTCTTTCTCAGAGACAGAGTTGTGCTCTGTCACCTATGCTGGAATGCAGTAGTGCAATCATAGCTCACTGTAACCTTGAACTCCTGGGCTCAAGAGACTTTCCTGCTCCACTTCCCAAGTAGCTAGGACTACAGGTGCATGCCACCATATCTATCGGGCTAATTTTTATATTTGTATTTTATTTGTTTTAAGAGGGAGTCTCACTCTGTTGCCCAGGCTGGAGTGCAGTGGTGTGATCTCAGCTCACTGCAACCTCCGCCTCCCAGGTTCAAGCACTTCTTGTGCCTCAGTCTCCCGAGTAGCTGGGACTACAGAATTATGCCATCACGCCTGGCTAAGTTTTATATTTTTAGTAGAGATGGGGTTTCACTATGTTGGCCAGGCTGGTCTCAAACTCTTGACCTCAGGTAATCTGCCCACCTTGGCCTCCCAAAGTGCTGGGGTTACAGGCATGAGCCACCATGCCCAGACCGTATCTAAAAATTCTTAAATTTTCTGTAGAGATGGAGTCTTGCTATGCTACCCAGGCTAATCTCAAACTCCTGGCCTAACGTAATCCTCCCGCTTCAGCCTCCCAAAGCACTGAGATTATAGGCATAAGCCACTCTGCCCGGCCTATTTTTTTTATTATTATTATTATTTTGAGATGGAGTTTCGCTCTCGTTACACAGGCTAGAGTGCAAATGGCACGATCTCAGCTCACCGAAACCTCTGCCTCCTGGGTTCAAGCAGTTCTCCCGCCTCAGCCTCCCGAGTAGCTGGGAATACAGGTGTGCGCCACCATGCCCAGCTAATTTTTGTATCGTTAGTAGAGACGGGGTTTCACCATGTTGACAAGAATGGTCTTGATCTCTTGACCTCGTGATCCACCCGCCTCAGCCTCCCAAAGTGCTGGGATTATAGGCGTGAGCTGCCGTGCCCAGCCAATTTATCTTTTTTGAGACAAGGTCTCACTCTGTCATGCAGGCTGGAGTGCAGTGGTGTGATCCTCCTACCTTGCTGCAGCCTTAACCCCCGGGTTCAGGCAATACTCCCACATCAGCCCCCAAGTAGCTGAGACCACAAGCACTTGTCACCACACCTTCCTAATTTTACTTTTGTTTTTTTGTAGAGATGGGATCTCCCTATGTTATCCAGGCTGGTCTTGAACTCCTGGGCTCAAGCGATTTCCCAAAGTGCTAGGTTAGAGTTGTGAGTTATCATGCCTGGCTCTGTCTCTTTCTTTCGTTCTCTCCTTCTGGGAGTCTTGCTCTGTTATCAGGCTGGAGTGCAGTGACACGATCTTGGCTCACTACAACCTGCCTCTCCCGGGTTCAGACGATTCCCCTGCCTCAGCTTCCTAACTAGCTGGGATTACAGGCGTGCGACACCACACCTGGCTAATTTTTTGCATTTTAGTAGAGACAGGGTTTCACCATGGCTGGGATGGTCTTATCTCCTTACACTGGTGATCCGCCCACCTTGGCCTCCTAAAGTGCTAGGATTACAGGCATGAGCCAGTGCACCTGGCCTGTCTCTAATTATTTAAAAAAAAAAAAAATTCGAGTAACCATATTTGCAGACTCTTAACTCCTCTGCCTTCTAGAGAGCAGCTTAGCACACAGGTGCAGAACACAGCCTTTAGAGATGCTGGCCCCAATATGAAGACCAGGCACTACCTCTCCCTATGTTGAGATCTTAGATGTGTGACTCAATCTTCTTTTTTTTTCCTGTTATTAAAATAATTTGGGGGCCAGACCCAGTGGCACACACCTGTAATCTTAGCACTTTGGTAGGCTGAGACAGGAGGACTGCTTAAGCCCAGGAGTTCAAGACTGGCCTGGGCAACATGGCAACCCCCGTCTCTACAGAAAATACAAAAATTAGCTGGGCATGGTGATGCACACCCACAGCCCCAGCTACCTGGGAGGCTGAGGTGGGAGTATCATCTGAGTCTGGGAGGTTGAGGCTGCAGTGAGCCAAGGTCATGCCACTGTACTTGTCTGGGCAACAGTGTGAGACCCTGTCTCAAAACTAAAGATAATAATTTAAAAATATTTTATAATAGAGATGAGGTCTTACTATATTGTCCAGGCTGGTCCTGAACTCCTCGGCTCAAGCAATCCTTCTGTCTCAGCCTCCCAAAGTGCTGGGATTATAGGTGTAAGTCACCATGCCCGGCCATGACTCAGTCTTAAGCTTCAGTCTTTCCATCTGGAAAAGCACCGAGGAGCCACTGTGAGGCTCTCTGTAGACAATGCACACCTAGGGGTTTTCTCTGGCCAGATGATGATTTGAAACGCTCCTGCCCATGCCACCTGCTACTGACCTGGTGGGCACATCACAGTGCTGGAGGCTGAGAGAGTCCATGGGACCTGGCATCAACTACAAACAACTGCTCACATCACCTCGCCATTTATATAAGATGTTCCTCATCTCATTTCATCCTCAGGGAATCCCAGGGAAGAAGGAAGGAGGCAGGCATTATTAACCCCATTTGACAGAAAAGCAGACTCATGCCTAGAGAGGTTAACCAACTAACTTGTCCAAGCCTGTACAGGCAGGAGCCAAAACTATCATTTGAATCTAACTGATTCCTTCTTAGCACCAGCAGCCTTGTCAGAAAAAACAGGACTTCCCAAAGGTCAGAAAGCCTCTTGAGGGCAGAGTTTGGTTCATTTCTGTGTCCCAGCACTTGGCCAAGGAAAGGCAGGGATTGCAGAGATACTTGGAGCCAAGTACAGAAGCTGAGGCTTCTGAGGTGAGTGCCAGGACTCTTTCAGTGCCCCACACTCCTTCTCCCTCTGGGTCTCCCGATTCACATCTCAGACTTCCTGTGGATCTTAACTGAAAAGGCCTTACCAGACTTTTGAAGGATGCAAGGTCTTCAACCCTACCACCCTTTCCCAATTTCAGGGAACAGAGATGTCCTGAGGCAGCCCACTGGGAGGCAAAGGCAAGGCAAGCATTGTCATGGGGAAAACATGGGGCGACTGTCATCCAAACAAGGTCACGCTTTGTTGATGCAGAAATGTGGAGGGGGAGAGGAGGCCCATCTGTGGCTGTGCACAGGGCCATTTCAGCTGCAAGCCCGCACAGAGCCTCCATTTATCCCCTTCCAAGAGCCTCGTTTTCTCCTGGGTGGGGGCTGGCACATGCAGCAGCTGGGGTGGGGGAGGGTGACAGGCAAGGGGCTCAGGAGTTGGGGGTCAGAGAAGAGGGATGGGAACTGAAGGCACTGGGACTCAGGCAAACAACCAATACTGGCCAAACCTGGTGGTGCCAGGCTCAGAGGCCGAGGCTGTTTTTCCTTTTACAAGCAGATGAAGGGAGAACCAGTCTCGCGCAGACAGTGACCTGTCACTGCTGAATTCACTGGCCCTCAAGGGAGGGGTTGGCGTTTTTGCTGTCAGCACATCTGGAGTGGGGGAAGGTGCATGCCCAGCCTCAAGAGTGATTCAGGGAGGCAGACAAGGGGCCTGTTCTAGCCCAAGAGAGACCTAAGGCTAGACCCTCTTATGTCTGATAAGATCTGCTATTCAAATTCAACTGACATTATCTCATCTTCCTTCCACCTTCCAATTCTTAGGGGATGTGTATGTTGATACCAGTGACAGGTACAGATATTTTCAAAACCGCCTTCACCTTTTCTAATCTTCATGTTTTAATCTTCTGTGTGTGTGTGTGTATATTTTATATATATATATATTTCTAAATATATATATATATTTTGTTTATTTACTTCCCCTCCACCTGCTGGGCCGCAAACTCTGCCTAAAACAGGGCCTGGCACATGGGAGACACTCAACAAATATCTGCCAAAAGAATAAAAATGTCCATTTCTCCCAGTTCTTCTCTGACCTCAATGACATTCCCTCCATTTGCCAATACCTCCCCAACTTGGGAAGGAGGAAAAGGAGTGGGAAGAAGAAAATTTCATATCTGGGCCTTTACAACATGGACCATAGGGACACAAAACACAACTGTATTACATACTTTGAATCATACCTGAGAAAATGCTCTGCTGAGAATAGTTCAGGGGCAAGATAAAGGATGGCAGACCTGGTCAGTGACAAGAAGGAAGGTGGAGGGGCCTTCCAGAGGGTCTCTGGAGGAGTTGGTGGGGCCAAGAGGAGTATATCTGCTCAGGAGGGAGACAAAATCCTAACCCAGACCCTTCCAGGACTCAAGTAGGAATGGGGCCACTCAGGGATGAAAGGGAGAAAATGACGGGCATGTAGCCTTTGCAAAGTTGTGCCGGTTCCACATAAAGGGTGAATCATATCTGCTAAGAGACACAGGAAATGAAAGAGAGGTCAGGGGCAAAAACGCACATCGAGGCAAGGACAAAGAAAGCAGGGACCTGGGTTGAGCATCACCTTGGGCATTGCTGCTTCCTGAGAAGCTACATTTTCATGGAATGCTGTGCTGTGGATGGAGGTGGTAGAAGGTGGGTGGGTCGTGGAAGAACGTGGTTATTATTGCTCTTGGAGGTAAGGGAGACTGAAGCTAAAGATGACTGGGTCAGAAAAAGGGCAACTGTGCTGGTGTGTAAGATCTGGAGAACAAAGGCCGAGTCTTCCTCACATGACTTCCCCATTGTGCTAGCACAGTACCTGGCAGACAGACATAACATGTCTGACTCATAACAATGAAAGGCAAGTTGTCAGTAGTAAATCTTTTTTTTTTTTTTTTTTTTGGTAGAGATGAAGTCTCCCTATGTTGCCCAGGCTGGTTTCGAATTCTTGGGCTCAAGCAGTCCTCCTGCCTCAGCTCCCAAAGTGCTTGAATTACCCTCTGTGCCTGGCCTAGTAAAAACCTTATCACAGCAGTCTGTGGCTACTCTCTTTCCAACTCTACTGAGGCCTGTCAGGAAACAGGGATCCTCCTAGAACCCCAGGCTTTGGGGAGTGTAGCTGGGCCAAGAGTTAATGAGGCAAAACAGTGAGGAGTCCAGACCAATATAGTTCTAATTTGATCCAAGCAGCCAGACAATATAAATTAAAATGCACTTAGTCACGAGACTTACCCCCCTTCTAAGGGGCAGAAATGCTGAATGCTGTAGGGCACGGACAGACTTCTATTTATCTTTGTATCCTCAGTGTCTGGCTTGCTGCCTGGCACATGGTAGGCACTCAGTAAATGGCTGGTGAATGAACTACCCAATGAAGGAAAAACATGAAAGAAATGGGAGGCATCCAATGAGAAGAAAGGCACAGGGCAGAGGTTTTAGATTCTCATCCCAGACTTCTCCTTTCACATAAACCTTGACTTGTGTATCTAAACACACACACACACACACACACACACACACCCTATTCCCTCTTTTCCATATGATTCTTGAAAGTACAACATCCATCTTTCAAGGCCTTCGTTTCTTTGCCTTCTCGCTAAGCTCTGCAGTATCTCTCAGCTTTGAACGCATATGACACACCTGTTTGTAGGAGGAACCAAATAATGCCTTGAGTAGACTTCCTCCCTGCTCTGTTTCTTCAGTTATTGGTGTGTGTTCTAATTTCTGCATTTTTCATCTTGTATATACTATACTGTCCGTGTTAGTTTCCTTCAGTGTGATTTCTTATTTGTCCCTGTATCTCCACCTGACTCTAGTTCTGCAGAAGGAACACAGCAAGTTTGCTGACTGTCCTGAAGGAGGCTCAGGTCTGTTTAACATCCCCAAGTCTTGGGAAAGAAAAAGAAAAAAGTCCCGTCCTGGCCACTACATCCCACGAGAAACAAGACCTTAAGAACACTAAAAACAAACTGCTGTTCAAAGAATGAAATCAGGGAGTGGAAGGTGGTCCTACTAGGTTCTAGGAGCTCAGATGCCAAACAGATGGGATCGGTCCGAGACAGGATTGGAAAAGACGATAGGGAGGCTGCCTGCTAACCGTCACAAATTCGACTCCTGCGGAGCACAGGGCATCGAGGGGAGCACAGAGCGCTTCTTCCTCCCAATGTGCGCCTCTATTTCCGGACATACGGCCTCATCGCCAGGAGAGGCTGGCCTCTCAGACTCTCCTAGGCGGGTGGCGTAGTTCACAGCAGGCGCCGGGACACCCAGTGATTTGGCCATGTCAGGCCCCAAGGCAGAGGAAAGGGAATTCCGGGCCCGACGACTTCAATCCATTCCCACGGCGCCCCAGCTCTGTAACTCACCCGAACTCCACCTCCACTGACAAGGGCGCTGCCATGTTGAGGAAGCCGAGCTCGCAGGAAACTCTCCTCAACTTCCGGCGCGCCCACAAATTTCCTTGCGTCATCGGGCGCCGCAGACGGAAGAGGCGGTGCTCAGGGGGATCCAGCTTCGTCAGCTGCTGAAGGAAGTCACCGAGAGGAGGGGAGAGGATGGGGCGGCAGAGGAAAGGTCTCCGGCGCTGTTGGGGTTATGAATCGATCTCCCTCCGTCTTTCACCGACGGGGCTCACAGACCCAGGGTGGGAAGCGCCTTGTACGGGACCACAAGCAGGCGAAGGAGAGCCCCCAGCATCTTTGCGACGTGACTGTGAGCCACGTTACTGCTTATCTTGCTTGAGTTAGAATCTCTTCAGTCTACAAACCTCTTGGGGGAACTCATTCACTCGTCTGGCTTGAATTATAAGTGACTTCCAGATCTTTATTTCCGACTTCCTAAGCGGGCGACTCGCTGTCCAGCCTCCCCCTTTGCCGTCGATTTGGATGCCACTCGTTGAACAGCAGTTCATTGCGCCTTCCTGCGCCAGGCATTTTGATCGGTGCTATGGACGTAGTGGTAAAGGGGATGGGCGAGGTTCCCGTCTTTAGGGCACTCACAGTCTGAGGGGAGACGATCTGTAATCAAATAAGCATGCTAAGACATGTACAAATAAAGGAACTGAAGTTATAGGAACTTCAAAAAGAAAACTGAGTAGACTGGACTTGCTGAGCTCTAAAGCCTGAGTAGAATTAACTAGGTGGCTGTGAGGGGAGAGAAACCTCTAGGAGCATTCCAGTGAGGAGGACAAAAAGCCCAGAGGCTCTGGGTGAAAACATGCTGTGGAACATGGAGAAGAAGGTGGAGGTTAGGGAGGCTTTCATGCATCTAGAGATGGGGATGCAAAGGTGGACAGGGGTCTACCTCTACCTTGTAAGCAGGTAAACGTTTCAGTCTCTAGGAGCAGTGGGAGACTACTGAAGGGTTTTGGGAGACAGCGGTATTTTAGAATTGTGTTTTAAAATATAATTTCTTTTTATTTATTTATTTGTTTATTTTTTGAGACGGAGTTTCGCTCTTGTTACCCAGGCTGGAGTGCAATGGCGCGATGTCGGCTCACCGCAAGCTCCGCCTCCTGGGTTCAGCCAATTCTCCTGCCTCAGCCTCCTGAGTAGCTGGGATTACAGGCACGCGCCACCAAGCCCAGCTGATTTTTATATTTTTAGTAGAGGAGTTTCACCATGTTAACCAGGATGGTCTCGATCTCTTGACCTCGTGATCCACCTGCCTCGAACTCCCAAAATGCTGGGATTACAGGTGTGAGCCACTACACCTGGCTTCTTCGCACAGTGCCTCTTTCCTAAAACAGGTTCTCTCAGCCAGGCGCAGTGGCTCACATCTGTAATCGCAGCACTTTGGAGGCCGAGGCAGGTGGATCACCTGAGGTCAGGAGTTCGAGACCAGCCTGGCCAACATGGTGAAACTCATTTCTACTAAAAATACAAAAATTAGCTGGGTGTGGTGGTGCACACCTGTAATCCCAGCTACTCGGGAGGCTGAGGCAGGAGAACTACTTGAACCTGGGAGGCTGGAGTGTAGGTGGCGACAGAGCGAGACTGTCTCAAAACCAACAGACAACACAAAACAGGTTCTGTGTTCCCCATCTCGGGAATACTACTACCACCCACAAAACACCCAAATTATCTTTAATTTGCCCTCTCTCATATCCAAACAGTCACCAAATTTAGATGAGTCTCCCTTTTAATCCGGCGTGCCTCCCTAACCCCCCAGCTCATCACCTCACCAACACCTGCTTCCTGTCTGGCCTGCCTGTCTCCCACCTCCTCTGGTCTTGGCTTGATTGTACAAATCAACTCCATGGACAGCTTTGAGCACCTTCAGTGTGCCAGGCCCTGTTCCTATAAAACGAAGACAATGACACTGCCCTGGTCCTCGGAAAGCAGAGGACTCCTGTGATATGCAGAAAGGAGGCACTCTCACCATACCATGTGACCCAGCCCTCTGTGGAACTCAGTCTCCCTATTCTGTGAAGAGGTTTGGGACCATGTGATTTTCTAAGGTCTTTTCTGCAAACATAATCTAAGATTCTTCTACTGTACTGTAAGGACTTCTGCTCCTTCTCAGCAGAAACTTTTCCCGATTCATCTTTGATCATAGCAGGTAGTGAGGAACTCTGTACTCCGCAGGGGTTTGGCCACAGCTTGCCGAATGAGTAAATGAATGAGTGATATCAGTCCCCTGCTCAAAGTCACGCAATGGCTTCCCTTTGCCAACAAGATAAGGGCCTACCTAGAAGCCACTCAAAGCCTCTGATTCCAACCCACCTTAGTAGCTTCTGACCTGGAAACTGCCCCCCAAAACTGGACTGGAACATTTGGGGGCATTTGAAGAGCTTCATCTACCTGACAAACTTTCACTCAGAACCTATTACACACCAGGGCCAGTGTTGCTGCTGGGAACACAATGGTGAACAAAACCTGTGGGTAGGCCAGGTGTGGTGGCTCACGCCTATACTCCCAGCACTTTGGGAGGCTGAGGCAGGTGGATTACTTGAGGTCAGGAGTTCGAGACCAGCCTGGACAGCACAGTGAAACCCTATCTCTACTAAAAATACAGAAAAATTAGTCAGGCATCGTGGCACGCGCCTGTGGTCCTAGCTATTCAGGAGGCTGAGGCGGAAGAACCGCTTGAACCCAGGAGGCGGAGGTTGCAATGAGCCGAGATTGCGCCACTGCACTCCAGCCTGGTGACAGAGCAAGACTCTGTCTCAAAAATAAAATATAAAAAAAATACAAATACAAATTAGCCAGAGCAGTGGCTCACGCCTGTAATCCCAACACTCTGGGAGGCTGAGGTGGGTGGATTACTTGAGGTCACGAGTTCGGGACCAGCCTGGACAACATGGTGAAACCCCATCTCTACTAAAAATACAAAATTAGCCAGGTGTTGTGAAGCATGCCTGTGATCCCAGCTACTTGCGAGGCTGAGGTAGGAGAATCATTTGAACCCAGGAGGTGGAGTTTGCAGTGAGCTGAGATTGTGTCACTGCACTCCTGCCTGGGCGACAGAGCCAGGCTCCATCTCAAAAAAACAAAACAAATCAAAAAACCCAAAACCTGTGAGTCTCCTTGCCCTCCTGGGCTGATGTTCAAGAAGACCACACAGGGAACAACAGAAGCTGCAGAGCAATCCATGCTATGGGGCCTGTGGGAACTGGAGGAGGTCCCTAACCTAGCCCTGGGATCCTGGGAGGCTTCCCAGAGGAAGCCTAAAGGAGGTGGAGGGAGTCTATGCACAGGGCCAGAGACACTCCCTCCCTCCTGGAATCTCACCAGGCAGTTGTCCTCCAGCTTCTGGCTTAGCCCAGAGATTGGGGAGCTCTTTGGGTAAGCTAGCCCAGTCTGTGGATGCCCAACTGTCACTGATAAAGTCCTTCCTTCTGACCCAAGCCTACTCCACTCCACCCTTAAGTTAGTAACAATATTAGCTTAGCATCTTTCAAAGAGTATTTATTGCATGCCCACTTTGCACCTGCCAGGTGCATTATACACACCCCCTACTTGACTCTTAACAGGGACTCTTTATGATCCCATTTTCAGATGAGAGCACTGAGACTCCAAACGGGTGGCTTGCCTGAGCACCTGTGAGGCCTCAGCCCGGGCTTTTGTGCCCTTGGGATCCCTGCCCCTGCACACTGACCTCACTGCCTCCCCTTAGACTAGCCTCACCCAAAGGCTTTCCCTTCGTGTCCACATAGAACAGGGGCTTGGGCCCCATCCCGTTCCCTCCAGCAGGCTGGCCAGCCCGGGCGTAGGCCTCGGTCCTCTCTGAAGCTCCTAGGGAGACAATGGCAGGGTCGGTGGGGGAGGTGAGGGCGCGGGTGCTCCCCTGCTTGCTGTCCTTTGTCTTCCTGCCTGCGCCCCTCTCGCGCCCCGGGAGGCTGGGAGGCGCCTCTCACAGGCTTCCTCCTCCCATTCTTGTGCTAATTGGGTGTCAAGCTGAGATCAGTGAGAAAGAAATCCGCCCCGGCTTGGGTTAAACTGCCGCCAAAGACAAGGGCTGAGCCCAGAATATCATTAGGCCGGGAGGAAGCAGGGCCCCCTCCTTGGGGGGAGGGGCAGGCCACGCATTTCAGGCCCCTTTGAAAGTCACTTGGTCACCCCCTCCTTTGCTGTTGCAGCCTTAATGGGCCCCTCGGAGGTATTTAACCTTCTTCCCAGGAACTGAAAGTGATACACCACGCAGTGGCCGGGGCAGCCACTTGGCTGTCTCGAGGGCGGCTGGACCTCCGGGAGCATGTGAGGCTGGCCCCTTCTAGACTTCCCTGTAGCAGAAAGGTTGCAGATGGGAACACTGAGGCACAGGGACTTTCCTCCTAGTTCTGCCATTCACAAGCTCTGTGGTCCTTGGAGAGACTTTACCTCTCTGAGCCTCAAATTCCTCATCTGTGAAATGGGGATAAAAATGGTACCCTGCCGGGCGCAGTGGCTCACGCCTGTAATCCCAGCACTTTGGGAGGCCGAGGCGGGTGGATCACGAGGTCAAGAGATCGAGACCATCCTGGTCAACAAGGTGAAACCCCGTCTCTACTAAAAATACAAAAATTAGCTGGGCATGGTGGTAAAGCCCATAGTCGCAGCTACTCGGGAGGCTGAGGTAGGAGAATTGCTTGAACCCAGGAGGCGGAGGTCGTGGTGAGCCGAGATTGCGCCATTGCACTCCAGCCTGGGTAATAAGAGGGAAACTCCGTCTCAAAAAAAAAAAAAAAAAGTACCCTGCTTTGGGCCGGGTGCCGTGGCTCACGCCTGTAAAACCAGCACTTTGGGAGGCTGAGGTGGGTGGATCACTTGAGGTCAGGAGTTCAAGGCCAGCTTGACCAACGTGGTGAAAACCTGTCTCTACTAAAAATACGAAATGATCCGGGTGTGGTGGTGCATGCCTATACTCCCAGCTACTTGGGACTCTGAGGCAGGAGAATTGCTTTAACCCAGGAGGTGCAGGTTGCAGTGAGCCGAGATCACTGTACTCCAGGCTGGGCGACAAGAGCAAAACTCTGTCTCAAAAAGAAAAAAAAGAAATTAAAAAATAGAACCTACTTTGCGTAGGAGGATTTAATGAAATTACGCAGCACAGAAAGCGCTTTGCACAGGGCCTGGTACATAGAGTGCGCCGTACATTGTGGTCATTAATGAGAGCCGAAGGAAGTGGGTTTGACCTGATACTTGGAACTCCAGAGCTCCCTCTTTTCTAGAGGCATGCAAACAGAAGTACCCATGAAGGATTCACTTTTCCTATCTTGCCTCAACTGTAACTCTCCTCCCCAACCCTGCAGCCTCGCTGCCTGTCCTTATTTATTTATTTATTTATTTGAGACAGTCTTGCTTTGTTGCCCAGGCTGGAGTGCAGTGACATGAGCTTGGCTCACTGTAGCCTCCACCTCCCTGGTTTCAAGTGATTCTCTTGTCTCAGCCTCCCAAGTAGCTGGGATTACAGGCACCCACCACCATGCCAGGCTAATTTTTGTTTTTAGTAGAGATGGGGTTTCATCGTATTGGCGAGGTTGGTCTTGAACTCCTGACCTCAAATGATCCGCCCGCCTGGGCCTGGCATGCCTGCCTTTCTTTAATCTGCCCTGGACCTCCGGGCCTCTACATGTGGCTGCTCCCTCCATCTGGAACAGTCTTCCTGGAGAGCCCTCCCTGGCCACGATATGCTCAGCCAGGGTGCTGGGTTAGGTGCAGCTAAGTCCACAACCTTGGCTTCTTTACTCACCACACGCCTCTCTGGAGACCGTGGCTCCCTGAGGGCAAATCTAGGACCCAGGTCTCTATCTTGCTCACCTGGCAGTTTCCTGCTCTCTGCACAGGGTAGGCCTCCAGAATTTGCTCCACAGATAAACTTACAGGATGCTCTGTAAATTGTGGAGCACTATATAAATGTCAGGAAATGCCTGAGAAACAGTAGCTATTGTCAGTGAACCTCACAAGCATCTATTAAGCACCTGCTGCATGCATGGAGATGACTCACATGGCCATAGCTGAGGTATGATCAGATGCAGACCTGAGAGCTGGAGGGGTCACAGGCCCACCAGGACTCTCCATCATGGAGGGGCTGTGGTAGGTAGGGTTCAGTGCAGAAGTGAGAAACTTAGCCTAGTCTGGGGTATTTTTTTTTTTTTTTTTTTTTGAGACGGAGTTTCGCTCTTGTTACCCAGGCTGGAGTGTAATGGTGCGATCTTGGCTCACCACAACCTCCGCCTCCTGGGTTCAGGCAATTCTCCTGCCTCAGCCTCCTGAGTAGCTGGGATTACAAGCACGCACGACCATGCCCAGCTAATTTTTTGTATTTTTAGTAGAGACGGGTTTCACCATATTGACCAGGATGGTCTCGATCTCTTGACCTTGTGATCCACCTGCCTCGGCCTCCCAAAGTGCTGGGATTACAGGCGTGAGCCACTGCGCCCGGCCTAGTCTGGGGTCTTAAAACCTAAACATGTTTTGCTAAGTCGGCACTCACCAAGGAGAAAGCCATGTTCAGTTCGAGCGCCATGATCATGAAGCCCAATGGCGAGAAGCCAGACGAATTCGAGTCCGGCATCTCCCAGGCTCTTCTGGAGCTGGAGATGGACTCTGACCTCAAGGCTCAGCTCAGGGAGCTGAATATTACGGCAGCCAAGGAAATTGCAGTTGGTGGTGGCCGGAAAGCTACCATAATCTTTGTTCCTGTTCCTCAATAAAATCTTTCCAGAAAATCCAAGTCCGGCTAGTACGCGAATTGGAGAAAAAGTTCAGTGGGAAGCATGTTGTCTTTATCGCCCAGAGGAGAATTCTGCCTAAACCAACTCGAAAAAGCCGTACAAAAAATAAACAAAAGCGTCCCAGGAGCTGTACACTGACAGCTGTGCACGATGCAATCCTCGAGGACCTAGTCTTCCCAAGTGAAATTGTGGGGAAGAGAATCCGCGTGAAACTGGATGGCAGCAGGCTCATAAAGGTTCATTTGGACAAAGCACAGCAGAACAATGTGGAACACAAGGTTGAAACTTTTTCTGGTGTCTATAGGAAGCTCATGGGCAAGGACGTTAATTTTGAATTCCCAGAGTTTCAATTGTAAACAGAATGACTAAATAAAAAATATATTCGCAAACAAACAAAACCAAAAGATCTAATATCTCCTTTTTCTCTGTTAACTACCATGTTAACTACCAAGCATTGAGCGGACACCAGCATCAGGCCCAGACCCCATGCTTAACCACCTTAATCACCTGCATACTGCCTTCAGGTGACTGTGTTCAGCCTGGAGCAAGGAATGCCCCCGCTCTGGGGGCTCCTTCTTCCCATTGTGGAGAACTCACTGCTGAGGGTTAAAGATACAAAGCCACACTGTCAACCAAATTAAGCCCTCAGAAGCCGGCCACAGGGTCCTCTGAGTATGGTACCTGCTCGGGGGATGAGGCGAGACTCAGCCTCTCCAGGCTTCCCTGGGCTGAGGCCAGGAGTGGATTCTCCAAGCTCCATGCGCCCTCTGCTGGCCACACTCAGGCACAGCAGCCATGCCTGCCACGCCACGCCACTCAGCATCGCTCCACAAGGCCCCCCCCGACTCCAGTTCTGCCCCTGCACCCCGAATTCTCCCGAGACAAGCACTGGACTCCTCTGTCCTTCCAAGTGCACTCCCCCAGGAGGCACCCCAGCTTTCAGCCTGGCCACCCTGCCTGAACTGTCAGCTGCTGGCCTGGGGTATGGCTGAGGCGGCTCTGCAGGCATGCGCGGAATGGAGGCTTTCCTGGCTTCCCTTACCTTCTGCACCAGGAGGCGCGGTGGTGTGGCAGGAAGGGCAGGGGCTCCATTCCAGCCCCCGCTACTTGTTGTGACCTTGGCTACGTCACTGAAAACCTCCAAGTTCTGGTTCTTTCCTTAGAAAGCCCACAGTGGAGATAAAGGCGCAGGAGCTCGCACTGTCCCCCGCCCCCCACGCTGGGCTGTGTTGGAACCCCTTCCCACTGGGCAGTGAGTTTCCAGCCTGAGTGTGACTCCTCCACCAGGGCCTAGGAGACAGCTGGCTCTCCACTGGCACTGCTGGTGGGGCAGCTGTGTTGACTGTTCCGGGAAGCTTCCCAGGCCTCTGGCCGGGCTGCCGGGCAGCCTTGCTTTGGCTCTCACAGCAGCCCCCACCCCTGCAGATCTTTCCAGCCCTAAAGAACTCAGAAAATACACCTCAGGCAGATAGAGCCGGTGCGGAGTCAGGATCCTGCCTAAGGGGTTTCCCCTCAAACCCCGTACTCCTGATGGCACATTCAGCTCCTGAATCAAAAGGAGCTGATGAATCCCATTCACAGGCGAGGAGACTGAGTCATCTGCCCAAGGCCACACACTTAAGAGCGACAGAACGGGTATGGACTTTCAAGCCCACACTGTTAAACACCTTGCCGGACTTGAATGGGCACTGCCCCCACCTGAGCCAGCACACTGAAGGCAGGGGCTGCACATCTGACATGCCGCAGCCTCAGTTTAGCTGAGTGAATGAACAGATGAGGTGGTGAAGGGGCCAGGGGTTTGGCATGGGGGGTTGAGGAGGCCACAGTGGAGCTGTGGAGCTCTGGGGTCAGGGTGGGCTTGGGTGGCTTGCACACAGGCTAGGAGGACTCAAGGCAGAGTTTATTGGTCCCTGAGCCCCTTCCTCCCCCATTCCTCCTCCCCTCATAGCCAGGCCAAGACTGAGATGGAGGTGACACAGACTCACAAGGACTGAAAGGCCCTGCCTGAGGGTCAGCCAGGCAGCCACCCGAGGAGGAGAATGGGGGAGTGGGGAGAGACCAGGGGTGCAGTCCTGACCTCCTGCTGTAGATGGGGCATCAGGGCCACCTACAGACACCAGGTCCTCTCCTCCCCTCCTGGAGGTGGGAGTGGAGCCAAATGAACTTGGGCAGCTCTGGGGCTAGGATCCTCTTACTACCCAATGGATGGCTACCACTGTCTCGGCCCACTCTGTTGACTTCCATTTACAAGCTCCCTGCTCTCTGGGAAAGGCTTGGTGACCCCTTTGTCCTTTCCCTGCCCTGACCCAAGACATCATCCTGAGAAGACCTGTCAGTCTCAGCCTGGGAATCAGAGGGCCTGCCTAGCCCAGAAGATGTAACTTGGACATTAGACTTTCACAGAAAGCCTCTGGAAGGGTTGGGGAGGTGGCAGTGAGTCACTTGGCAGTTTTAGATGGAGGGGGCAACACCTCAGCATGGAGGTGCCAGGCCCTGCTTGCTTTGGTCTGGCCTTGTCCAAGACCCCTCTGGGGCAGAACCTGGGGCTCTGGATCCAGCATCCGCCAGCCCTCAGAGGGATGGGGGGAAATCACAGTTTCTCCTCTCCTGCCTGAATGCGGCTGTAGGCCTCTTGGTCCAGCGGGACGTAGCGGCCCTTCCGGGCGTCTAGATAGAACAGCGGGTCTTTCACCACAGCCGGGTCAAAGCCCTCCTTCCGTAGCTCTGTCTTCTGGAACTTGTAGGTCCCTGGAAGGACAAGGAAGAAGACTCAGTGCATGGGAGGGGCTTGAGCTCCCAAGAATCCGACCACCAGAGCTGAGGAAGGCAGGGGGCAGGGCGGGAGGACAAACATGGGAGGGGAAGTGGGGGAGGAGGAGGCACAGTCCTTCACAGTTTGCAAAGAATGCTCCATCTTATTACCTAAAGTACTGCTTCTCAGAGCAGCCATGGCAGAGTTGGGGCATGGGGATATTTGCTAGTTATCCACCCACCTCTACTTTGCAGATGGGAAAACAGACCTAGAGAAGGGAAGCTACATGCCTAGTGTCACATACTGAGTGACAACAGAGTGGGGACCAGAACTCAGGTCTTCTGACTGTGATGTCTCCCATTTTTTTTTTTTCTTTTTTATTGAGACAGGGTCTCTCTCTATCACCCAGGCTGGAATGCAGTAATGCCATCTCAATTCACTGCAGCCTCCACCCCTGGGCTCAAGCAATTCCTCCCACCTCAGCCTCACAAGTAGCCAGGACTATAAGTGCGTACCACTGTGCCTGGCTAAGTTTTATATTTTTTGTAGAGATGGGGTTTCACCATTGGTCCCAAACTCCTGAGCTCAGGCAATCCATCTGCCTTGGCCTCACAAAGTGCTGCGATCACAGGTGTGAGCCACCATGCCCAGTCTAATTTTTTGTTTTGCGACCCCTCCCTCCCCGTAATTTTTTTTTAAAAATTTTTAGTGGAGACGGAATTTCACCATGTTGGCCAGGCTGGTCTCGAACTCCTGACCTCAAATGATCTGCCCACCTCAGCCTCCCAAAGAGCTGGGATTATAGCCATGAGTTACCGCACCCGGCCAGCTAATTTTTGTATGTTTAGTAGAGACAGGGTTTTGCCATGTTGGCCAGGCTGGTCTTAAACTCCTGACCTCAGGTGATCTGCCTGCCTCGGCCTCCCGAAGTGCTAGGATTACAGGCATGCACTACTATGCCCGGCCTTGCTGAGATGCTTCTGCAGCTCCCTACTGCCCCCGGGACAGTCCCAACTCCTACCCTGGCATGCAAGGCCCTGGGCTTCTGGCCCCTGCTGCTTCTCTCCCACTTCATGCCACTGCCTGCCACTCTCACATGGCTGCAGCCTTGGGGGCCCTCTTTCATTCCTCCAGCACCTGAGCTCCTTCCTGCCTCCGGGACTTTATACAGTGGCTATTCCCACAGCCTGAACTGCCTTCCTCCCGCCCCCATAAAGTTCTTTTTTTTTTTTTTTTGAGATGGAGTTTTGTTCTTGTCGCCCAGGCTGGAGCGCAATGGCATGATCTCGGCTCATTGAAAATTCTGCCTCCCAAGTTCAAGCAATTCTCCTGCCTCAGCTTCCTGAGTAGCTGGGATTACAGGCACGTACCACCATGCCCGGCTAATTTTGTATTTTTAGTAGAGATGGGGTTTCACCATGTTGGCCAAGCTGGTCTTGAACTCCTGACCTCAGGTGAACCGCCCACCTCAGCTTCCCAAAGTGCTGGGATGACAGGCATGAGCCACCACGCCCAGCCTAAAGTCCTCCCTTTCATTTAGGTCTCAGCTGAACCATCCCCTCCTCAGAGGAGACTTCTAGTCATCCCAAGTGTCCCTCCTTTCACTTTCCTGTCACCTTGCTGTGGTTCATTCTTCTTTTTATCTGTTTTACTCTAATCTCATCACAGATTATGTGGTTCATTCTTTATCTTTGAAATGCTTTGTGCTAGGCCAGCCCCTCTCCTGCTCTAAAACTCCAAGAAGGCAAATGTCCTGTCAGAGCTCGCCACTCCTATCCCGAGGCCTAGTGCAGTGCCTGGCACATAACATTTGTTCTACTAAGGATCAATGTGTATCTCTCTCTCTCTGCCAGCCCTGTCTGCTCACCTCTAAACAGGCAGGTCACTTTACCAACTGCCCGGCCAGGCTGTGTACAGAGGTCAAATGACAGCCACCGGGTCTCTCTAGAAGGAAACCGGACCTGGGATCCGAGAACTGGAGCAGGGACGGGACACACCTGTTTTGTGCAGCTCAGGCAGGAGGCGCAGGAAGATAGGGCGTGCATACAGGGGCAGTTCCTTTGCCAGGACCTGAGCAAAACGCTCCAGGTCACAGTTGCCAGTGGGGCTGGCCACGGCAGCCATTCCAGCCCGGCCCTCGGTTCCTGGGGGTGGCAGGGTGGACAGTGAGTAGCTGGTGGTGCCCCTGGGTTGTGCCTCCCCACCCATACCTTGTAGCTGCCTGCACATACCTGGCACCTCGACACCATACACAGCCACGTCAGCCATGTCCAGCAGGCGGCTGAGTGTGCCTTCCACTTCGGTGGTGGACACATTCTCACCTTTCCAGCGGAACGTGTCCCCTGTGCGGTCTCGGAAGTACAGGTAGCCAAGCTCGTCCATCACCAGGACGTCACCTAGGGAGGGGCTGGATGAGGCAGGGCTGGGGATGGCCAACTCTGGGTCAAGGATTTGACCACAAGGGCCAGGACTGGGGGAATCCTGGGAAGGTGTCCTCTGGAAGTGGGAGACGGTTTCCTCCTACCCTAACCCATGGGAAGGGGCTGTGACAGGCTGTGGACCCACCGGTCAGGTAGGCCTGGTCCCCCTTCTTGAAGACGTCCTTGGCAATCTTCTTGTCGTTAGCGCCCTGGTTGAGGTAGCCATCGAAGCGGCGCAGGGGGTCTTTCTGGATAATACGGCCCACCAGCTGGCCTGGCTCACCTGAGGTGGGGAAGGCAGGGTCGGATCTGGCCTAGGCAGCCTCTCTCCCACCTGTCCTCTGTCACCAGGTGTATCCTGCATCTTTTATTTTTTTTTTGAGACGAAGTTTCACTCTTGTTGCCCAGGGTGGAGTGCAGTGGTGTGCTCTTGGCTTACTGCAACCTCTACCTCCTGGGTTCAAGTGATTCTCCTGCCTCAGCCTCCCGACTAGCTGAGACTACAGGCGCATGCCATCACACCTGGCTAATCTTTAAAAAAATATTTTTTTAGTAGAGATGGGGTTTCACCCTGTTGGCCAGGCTGGTCTTGAACTCCTGACTTCTGGTAATCTGCTCGCTTTGACCTCCCAAAGTGCTGGGATTACAGGTGTGAGCCAACACTCCCAGCCTGTACTCTGCATCTTGATCTGACTTGAGTCACACTGCTTGCCACAGAAATGCCCCACCCTCCCCCACCCCAGGAGCTCATCTTGGCAGGTCAGACACACTGAGCCAATGATGCCTGTTCTTGAAGCTGATGAGAAGATGAACATAGAGAACAGGGGTCAGGCTCCTCGGGGACAGCCTAACAAAGCTAGCACCCCAAGCCCCTCCTCCATGCTGCGACCCACTCAGAGTTTTATGTTCTTTACCACGCATAATTCTCAGGCCAGCCTCATGGGCTGTTTGTACCATCACCCTGTTTGTAGATAAAGGGACTTAGGCACAGAGAGGCTGAATACTAGCCCATGACACAGAGTAAGGAGCTGAGCCAGAATCAGTCTCAAGTAGCCTGGACTCAGGGTCATCTGGAGTCAACATGAAAATAATGAATGAGGCTGGGTGCGGTGGCTCACACCTGTAATACCAATACTTTGGGAGGCTGAGGCAGGTGGATTGCTTGAGGTCAGTAGTTTGAGACCAGCTCTATTGAAAATACAAAAACTAGGGCCAGGCACTGTGGCTCACGCTTGTAATCCCAGCACTTTGGGAGGCCGAGGCGGGTGGATCACGAGGTCAGGAGTTCAAGATCAGCCTAGTCATCATAGTGAAACCCGTCTCTACTAAAAATACAAAAATTAGCCAGGTGTGGTGGCACATGCCTGTAATCCCAGCTTTTCAGGAGGCTGAGGCAGGAGAATCAATTGAACCCGGGAGGCAGAAGTTGCCATGAGCAGAGACCGCCATTGCACTCAAGC